ATAATGGACCCAGTGATTGTTAGGAGCTCTATGGCAGATCCTAAAGGAGGCAGGGTGGGAACTGATTGAAGTCTGCATTGTTACCTAAACCTTTCTGAGTACCCTAGAGATATTTAAGATGAAATTTACAACAACAATAAAAAATCTTCACAGAGGTCAACAACACAAAACTCATGTTTTGTCATGTCCTTATGGTCAGATTATCAATCCAGCAAGCAATCACGTTGCAATCAGATGTACTGATGAGCAGCACACTGGGGCATGCCATGTAAGACATGGTGTATGTCTGTTTGCATTCATAAAGCTTGTTTTCACTGAGCTAATACACTTCAAAGAGACAATCCTTGCTCTAATGAACTTTAAAGTTCAGCAGAAGCAAAAAACCTATCCAATAATAAAATCCAAATTATGTACATATGCCAGAGAAATTCCATGCTGTCTTAATCAAGGGAGTTTCATCATGGTCTCCTTGAGCGAGGTGTTTGCATGGAAAATGATTGTTAGTTCTCCATCTAAATGATTTGGGAGAACAGCTGAAGTAATGCAAAGAAGTCACCTTTATGAGTCTATCTGGAACAGACCACAATTGACTCAGAATAGAGACACTGGGATAATATGAGCTTCTGAAAGCACTAATGCAGAGAGTGGGTGGCATGCATAGTCAGATTAAGTTAATTTGATATTTAATAGCAAAGAACTTTAACAATTTTTTTTCCCAGAGGGCACTGTGAAGAAAAATACTTAAAGTACAGTGGTATTCTAATAATAAGTTAGATATATATCTATGTATCTAGATATATAGATGTATAATGAGTGGTCAAGTATCATGAAAACAGGTGCACTGGAAAATCCCTGAAACTAGCTAATTCTATGAATTTCAATTCATCTGTAGAGTGCCAAACTGCTTTCTTGTACTCAGAAAAGTGGGCTTAAACTCTCTGATCTGGTCTCTGGGACATGAGAGCAGAAGATTGTACTGGATGACCTCCTGAGATCCCTTCCAGCCTTTGATCTTGTGATCATCACAAAGGGTCCAAACTCCTCTACAAAAAAGAGCAATCACTCACTGAGTAGCAGAACCAAGAGGTAGATGACCTCTGTGAAATCCACATCAGACATCAACAGACTTTCCCAGGGTGCTCCCCTGAGCACTTTCTTGATCCAGCTGAGCCACTGGGACAAGGGCACAGAGCTGATACCTCACCTGAAGATCAGCCTCACCTCTGGTCAACTAGACATTCAGCAACTGAAGGAGCTTCACAGGTCTGAGACTTAGGTCAGGCAAATACCCTTCCTGAGGGCATCAAGCCATGCTTGTAGGGGCCTGCTGTGATTCTGAGAGGACTCATTCTGGGAGGTAGACTGTGAAGTGATTTAGCCGAAGTCTGGTCAGCTTTTACTCCTTTTATTTGCGTTTGTTTCCTCATGACATTATGAATCTTCTGTACCTTTCTTGCTGGTGCACATTCAACATAGAACTGTAGAATCATAGCCAGGTTGGAAGGGACCTCTGAGATCATCAAGTCCAACCCTTGGTCCAACACTGCCATAGTTACTAGACCATGGCACTAAGTGCCACATCCAGTCTCATCTTAGAAACCTCCAGGGACAGAGAATCCACCACTTCCCTAGGCAGCCCATTCCAATGCTTGATTATCCTCTCTGTAAAGAATTTCTTCCTAATATCCAACCTAAACCTCCCCTGGCACAGCTTAAGACCGTGCCCTCTTGTCTTACTGATAGCTACCTGGGAGAAGAGACCAACCCCCACCTGGCTACAACCTCCTTTCAGGGAGTTGTAGAGAGTGATGAGGTCTCCCCTGAGCCTCCTCTTCTCCAGGCTGAACAACCCCAGCTCTTTCAGCCTCTCCTCATGGGACTTGTGTTCCAGTCCCTTCACCAGCCTTGTTGCTCTTCTCTGGACCTGCTCCAGCACCTCAATATCCTTCCTGAAGTGAGGGGCCCAGAAATGGACACAGCACTCGAGGTGTGGCCTCACCAGAACTGAGTACAGGGGAAGAATCACTTCCCTGGACTGTTAAGGAACATAGGTGGGCTGGTGGGTGATGGGTTGGTTGGAGGCCACTGGGCCTTGGGCAAAGTGATCATAAAAAGATCACTTTTCAATTCTCTGGATTTTGGTTCAGCAGAACTGCCACCTTGGACTTCTAGAGAGCAGACCATGGCTTGTTTAGGAGACTGGTTGGCGGAGTCCCTTGGGAGACCATTCTGAAGGGCAAAGGAATCCAGCAACACTGGATTTGTTTTCAAGAAGAAAATTCCAAAGGCTCAAGAGCAGGCTCTCCTCATGTGCCAAAAGATGAGCCAGTGGGGAAGACAGGCCTGGCTGAACAGAATGCTGTGTCTGGGACTGAGGAATTTAAAAGGAGAGTTTCTGACCTTTGGAAGAAGGGCCTGGTCACTCAGGAGGACAACAGAGATGTTGTGAGGTTATGCAGGGAGAAAATTAGAAGGGCCAAAGCCCAGTTAGAATTTAGTCTGTCTACTGCCCTAAAAGGCAATAAAAAGGCAATAAAAATACTTCTAAAAATACACCATCAGCAAAAGGAGGACTATGGAGAATCTCCATACTTTATGGTATTGTAGTGGGGGAAAAAAGTGTTTTTCCCCTGGAGTTAAAAAAATAGTAACCCCTGAGGGGGTGGTATCACTTGATGTTGACCCAATCAGCGCCCCTGCAAAATTTAAACATATCACACCAGACCAGAAAAGAAGGATGATGATGTTGTAGTTGGAGAAGTAGTAGCCATGTTCTGAGACCACGAGATGAGAGAGAGGGGCCCGGAACCCCCCCTGGGGGGACAAGGCCCCCCAGCCCCCGGCTGAAGTTGCAGAAACTCAGAAACAGTGTTAAACTGGACTGAGTTCTGTGACTGAAGAGCTGGGGGAGTCTTTCTCCACTGTGAGCGGGCAGCAGGAGCGGTGGCAGAGATAGCACTGGAGAACTGTGGCAGAAAGCCAAAAAGATAAGAAACAAGCAGCAAAGACAGCATGTAGCTAAGCAGGGAGACACAGACATGTCTGATGGAGAGAGAGAGAGAAGGCTAAGCTCAACAAAGACAGTTTTGGGGTAAGAACTGAATCAGATCCTCCCAAAACCCCTTTGAGACCACTCCTAGGAGGAGGGAGATGGACTCCTACTTGATGGAAGTCCTAAAATGCAACATGTAACAGAGAGAGGAGCTGAAAAGCTCAAAGATGTCCTGGAAGTTGGACCGGGACAGCCGTACGGAATGTGAAGGAGGTGGCCTTACCCCCCCCACTGCTGCTGCCAGGCTAGCAGTTTTGAGACAGAGCAAAGGAGCTCTGATAGAATGCTTGAGGCAAAGACTTTCAACTGAAAGCTGCCCTAAACATTCTGACTCAGGGGGTAAATCCCCAGAGGAAAGGGACTGTCACGAAGATGCCCCTGCACTTTGTGATATGACATGGTGAGGTGAGCCTTTGTCCTGGTTATTGCAGTCCATGAGAGAGAGAGACCTTCACTGGGAGTCAAAGGGCTGAGAGGGGTGAGAGAAGACCCCCTTGTGTCTAATGGAGAGAGAGGTCTAGCTACAACTCTAGCTTTGACTGCTGCGTTGGAGAGGAGAGACACTGCTGCCCTAAATGTGGAAAGGATCTTTCCTTCTTCCCTTCTGGACTTTTACTGGAGGGAGAGGAGATTTGATCCAACGTATATACTGCTTTATCATAGGAGAGATGGTTAGGATTGTGTATATAATGTATTATAATATTTCTTTTGTGTAATTATTGTAATATAATTCTCTTCTCCCCCTGTATTGAGTCTTGTGTTGTGTCTGGAAAACCCCTCTCACACTAGGGTGAGTTGTGGGAGGGGGGCTTGGACTTGGAAATTGGATTTTTGGGTATGCAACGGGAAAGAGTGACAAAGCGTGAGTGAAAGGCTGAGGCACTTAATGCTTCTTTGCAGCAGTCTTTAGCAGAAAATCCAGTTGTTCTCCAGGTACCCAAGCTGGAATGCAAATGCATGGAGCAGAATGAAGCCCCTGTAATCCAAGGGGAAGTGGTTAGCCACCTGCTACACCAGTTAGAAACACACAAGCTCATGAAGCCAGATGGGATCCAGCCAAGGGATTCCACTGAGGAAGCTGGTGCAAAAGCTCAAGACCAACAGTCCTGGCTAACCAGGGAGGTTCCAGGAGTGGGAGTTGACAAATGTGACACCCATCTACAAGACAATACAAAAGAATGATCTGGGGGACTACAGAACTACAGGAACTACAGCCTACGTTTGGTACCAGGGAAGGTCACGGAGCAGATAATCTTGAGTTCCGTCACATGCACACGCAAGGCAACCAGGAGATCAGGCCCAGCCAGCCTCGGTTTAGGAAACGTAGGTCCTGCTTGACTGACCTATCTCATTCTATGGCACGGTGAGTCATCAGTGGTTGAGGGAAAGGCTGTGGAAGTGTCTACCTGCACTTTAGTTAAGGCTCAGTTGAGCATTCTCCTGGAGGAACTGGTTGCTCATGGCTTGGATGAGTGCCCTGTTCGCTGGGTAAAAAACTGTATGGATGGCCCAGAGAGTAGTGGGGAATGGAATGACATCCAGCTGGGGCCCCTCACCATGGGTATGCACCAGGACTCAGCATTGGGGTCAGTCTTGTTTAATATTTTTATTGATAACCTAGATGAGATCGAGGGCACTCTCAGCAAGTTCTCAGATGACACCAAGTTGGTTGAGAGGGTTGATCTGCTGGAGGGTAGGAAGGTTCTCCACAGGGATCTGGACAGGCTGGATTGGTGGGATTGGGCCAATTGTGTGAGGTACAACGAGGGGAAGTGTCAGGTACCACCCTTAGGACACAACAGCTCCCTGCAGTACTACAGGCTGGGGGAAAAGCGTCTGGGGAGGATTGTCCTAGGAGGTTGTGGACCTCCATCTGGCCACCTTTTGAAAAAAACAGGTTAATGCAAATAAAGGTAAGTACAAAGATAAAAGATTTCTTTTAAAATGTGTCCTTTTGTCTTTCATATTGCTGTGATTCAAATGCAAAATGAGAGCCATATTGCTTTCCAACTTCATGGGGGCTTTCCAAGGACATTAGTGAGTGTTTTACAAGACACAGATGCTGCACAGATACATACTCCAATGTAATAGCTAAATCACAATCCTCATGTCCAATGCAGAGAGGGGAAAAAGTAATCAATGCTGTGTTCTTTCTACTTTCATTGTCATGGATAACTGATTTTAAAATGTTACATGTTAGATGTGGAAACTGAGGCAGGGGACATAACGTGTCCAAAGTCACATGGCAAATCATTGGCAGAGCTGGAGCAGACCCCATGTATTTTGTGGTCATTGAACCACAGCAGCAAATGCCTGGAGCATCAGAAGCCCTGCACTGTGACCCATAATGTGTGTTCCGGCACAGAGACAAGCCATGGCTAGCTGTATGAACACCATTGTCCTCTCTGATTTCTGAATAAGAACATGCTGCCAGCCATCACCAAGGTTTTAATGATGGTGCTTGCTATGCTACAATTTCTAAGAAATTCAGGCATATTCTTTAAACTTCATACTTCTACAAGTAGTCAGATAAATAGTCAGATTGATACAACTTTATTATGACTTTTCACTGAGTGTCATGGGTTTCCCCTGAAGAAATGACTAATAACATCAGTTCACATTTCTCCAGTTTTCAGCCAAATCACAAGGGCTTAGAGCAAAATACATTCAACAGAGCAGTAATTAGAAGGACCCTTGGTTATCCTGGAAATGAGATTCAGATGGCAGAGATAAAACTGGTAGATGCTAAAACACAGACCTCCTCTCTAAAGTTCTGGGAGATGAAATGGCCCTGCTGTATATCACATAGCACTGCAGTAAATTGTGGCTGATGAAGTATCGGACATGGGAACTCTGAACTACTGAGGTGCCTCTAAATGAGCTCTGGACCCTGGGAGAGCTGAGCCCCCTCTTGCGTGAAGGGTAAGCAGGAAAAATGCATGCAAGCCTTTGTTCTGCCTCTCAGCACAGGAAAAACATGCTATCCATAACGAAGAAGCCTGTGAAGAGCATGGCTCCATCCTACAGGGTGCTGGAGACTCCCAGGTTGCTTTGCCCCTTCCCCTCCACAGATGGATTTCATTAGGAGTGCAGGACTCTTAGTGCCCCAAGAACTATCAGCACAGCTCTTGCTTTTCAGGCATGGTAAGAGCATGCAAAGAGATGGCCCCTGAAGGAGAAGGGACATTTCCAGTACAGCAGCTAAAGTTTTCGTCTTGACAGCAGGAGATGCTGTTGAGTCCTTATTTGCTGGATTTACAAGCTTCCATCCAGGCACGCTGCCGGGAGACCTCTTGCTGTTTGATGGGGGCCTGAAGTTTAAAGCTGCTTCCAGAGTTTTGTCGAGACAGACAGAATTCTGTCAACAGCATACCAGACAGAGAATCGTTAATAAGAACACACTTTGGGATGCTGCTGTGTGCATGCTCTTTTCCTGGTGGCTGCAGTTCTAAACCAATTAATTTCTGTGATCTGAACATTTTCTTTTATTAGTAGTACCAGCATGTGCAGTGCTGCATAGTTATAGATGATGTGCTCCCTCTGGGGATCCTATCAGCATGCTATTGTAGGTCTTCACAACATGGAGAGAACTGTCTCCTATGCTTCTTCAGCAGTGTTAATTTTTTCCATGTTTTTATTTATTTCCCTTGAACTCTTACTGTTTCTACCTCCTTGTGAGCTCTGTGTTTACTCCTTATGGGTTTCAGTGGCTGTTTACCTCCACCCTTGACTCTGACTGCTCAGAGTGACCTTTCTGATAATTCTTCTTCGCTCCCTGGTGCTGAGGTTTGTGGGTAAGGCAAACTCACAGTTTCCGTGGATAATCTGACTTCATTATTTTCATTGTCAAGAGATTCTGAGGTTCTTTTGCTCCTTGGTGCAGAGCCTTCAGGATGAGTGATACATGAGTTTCTCCTGTCTCATGACAGATAATCTTGAAAAGGCTCCTTTTTTCTATTTCTTGTCTCACTAGATACAGCACATAAACAGAAACACACACACACACACACACACACACACACACACACACACACACACATACACACACACACACACACACACGTGAACCTTCTCTGTGCATGGCCCATATCAGCTGCACTGTAAGGTCTTGTGAGATTCTCACCTCCTTCTTGAAGCAGAGGTAAAATGTGTCCACCAAACTTCCCAAAAGCACCTGCTGAATTTGAATGCCCTCCCCATGAATATTTTAAAGTGTCCTGATTTGCAGAAGCTGAAGGACAATTCAGTCACTAATCACTAGCCTCTTTTGGAAACCTAATGTAGGGCATAGCTGCTGCTTCCAGAGAGTGCTCCACTAATAGTTTTTGTCATTTCATTCTTGGTTCATTTTACTTCCAGTTCATTTTTTTTTTCTTTTTTTTTTTTTTTTCCCTCAGAAATGCACAAAATTCCCTGTTCCACCTGCCCTTGGATGGCAGCTGGAGCGTGTTTTTCACTGAAACACAGAGTAGTTGCTTGTCTGCAGGAGACCCACGGTTGTGCATCAATATTTGTGAACTCAGGTATCATCAGGATCTTCTTGTTTTTAAACAAGGAAGAAAGTCCTGATGTAGAGTTTTGCTGTTGCCTTTGGAGTCTACTTCTAGTTTGCTTAACACTGGTATACAAGCACCTCTGAATCAAGCCCTCTTCATTAGTGCTGGAATGAAAACTTAGCTTACTGTTGGCCAGTTCTGACCTCCCACACCTGCAGCACATCTGTCTAGCATATCTCCCAGTCCTTGTACTGTCTTCCATTTGGCATTTGCAATTTTTTCTGTGTTTTTTATTTGTTCTTTTCAACAACATTCATCTTTGTCACAACAGACTGCTATATTCTGAGTATGGATTTATGTATGCAGATCCCATTCCAAATAACTATCTAAATAAAACATAGTATTTCTTCTCCACAGCCATGTTGGTTTATTTTTGCCTGGAAGCCTGAACATTTATTGATGAATCCATATTTGTACTACAGCAGTCTC